AGAGTGAGTGGGAAAGTGGTACATCACCCCCAGGGGAGTGACCACACTATGCCTTCTCCTCTCAGGATTTCGGGCCTACATGTGCACGCACCTGGCATGATTTCCAGCCCGCCAGATCCAGGACTCACCAGTCAGCAGTATGACAGCTCAGGCCTTAACCACCACGTCGTCTGCTGGTCCCTCTGGTCCCTCCACAAGCTACTTCTAAAGATTCAAAAGGAAAGAACCATTCCAACCTCACTCTGTGAAGCCTCCATCAGAGATACCAAAAGCACAAAAGGACTTCATGGAAAAAGAAAACTACAGACCAATATCCCTGATGAAATGATGCAAAAATTCTCAGCAAGGCACGGGCAAGCCAATCCGACAGCACCTTAAGAGGGTCATACACCATGGCCAGGTAGGCCTTACCCCAGGACTGCAAGGACTTTCAGCACACACAAAGCAATACATGTAATGCACCACATTCATAGAAAGAACAGTAAAAGTCGTACAATCATACCTATCGATGCAGGAAAAGCATTTGATAAAAATACAACATTCCTCCATGATCAAGACTCTCAGCAGAATAGGGGCAGAAGGGACATTCCTCACCACAATAGAAGTCACATACAGGAGGCCAACAGATGGCATAGTGCTTATGTCACTGGACTCCCATGTGACCAACCATGTTTCAAGTCCCAGACCCTGGTAGCTTGAAAATCACACTGGGTGCATGTGCACATGTGCCCAAGATGCTGGGAGGAGAATGGAAAAGAAGGGATTATGGAGTGGCCATCCCTCCTCGGGCGGGGGGATGAGTTCTCCCTTTCCTTCTCACTGTGTGTGTCTGTCTCTCTCTCTCTGGTGAGTGCACACCGATAAAGAACTCCAATGAAGAAAGTCACATACGACAGACTCATTGCTAAAGCTGAAAGCTTCCCATTAAAAGTGGGAACAAGACAAGGTTGCCCACGTTCTCCACTTCTTTTCAACACAGCACTAGAAGTCCTAGCCAATGTAATCAGACAAGAAAGAAAAACAAAAGACATCCAGGTAAGAAAAGAAGAAGCTAAACTGTCCCTGTTTGCAGATGATATAATTATATACATAGAAAAGCCAAAGGAACCCACAAAAAACTAGAATTGATAAATAAATTCAATAAAGTAGCAGGAGACAAACTCAATAGACAAAAATCTATAGCATGTTTATACACCAACAATGAACAGACAGACAGAACTGAAGAAAGCAATCCTATTTACAATAATCATGAAACAAATAAGATACTTAGGAGCATACCTAACCAAAGAGGTGAAAGACCTCTACAAGGAAAACTATGAACAACTGAAAAAAGAAATTGAGTATGATTTTTTCCAAAAAAGAAGGGGAGACATCCTGTGGTTTTAGATGGGAAGAATCAATATAAGAAAATGTCAGTTCAGTTCTATGCAAATTAACATATTTAATGTGATTCTGATCAAATTGCCAGTAACATTTGTCTCAGAAGTAGAAAAACTACCATAAGATTTATCTAGAAACAGAGAAGACCCCATATCTCCAAGACAACAGTGCGAAAAAAAAAAAAAAGTAGAAGGCATCTCACTCTTACAGAACTTCAAAATATATTACAAAGCCGTGATAATAAAAACAACATGGCACAGAAAAAGGCACATAGACCAATGGAACTGAAGAGAATCTAGAAATAAACTCCGAATCATACAGCCAACTGATCTTTGACAAACGGTATAAAACAATGCAGTGGAGAAAAGAAAGTCTTTTCAGCAAATGGTTCTAGAAGACCTAGATATCCACCTGCAGAGAAATTAAACTGGACATTTAGCTCTCACTATTAACAAAGTCTCAAACTATTAAACTGTTGGTAGAAAATTGGGAAGACTTGAAGATATTGGAGTATGCAAAGATTTCTTAAATGAGACCCCTACAGCACAGGCAAAGATTGCAAAAATAGACAAGTGGGATTCCATCAAGTTAAAAGCTTCTTTGCAGCAAAGGAAACAACAATCAGAGTGAGAAGACAACCCTCAGAATGGAAGAAAATGTTTGCACATTATTCCTCAGACAAGAGATTGATAACCAGAATACACTGGGAACTCAAACAGCTCACCCATGAAAAAATGAGCAATCCAGTTTTAAAAAGGGCAAATGTACTCAATAGACAACTCTCCAAAAAAGACTTACAAATGGCCAAAAGGCATATGAAAAAATGTTTAAAGTCTCTTGTCATAAGGGAAATGCACATTAAAACCACAATGAGATACCATTTAACCCCAGTTAGAATGGCCAGCTTGTGGGACCAGCAGTTAGCGTAATGGCTATGTCACTGAACTCCCATGTAGTCAACCATGGTTCAAGTCCTGAACCCGGTGGCTTAAACTCACACCGGCCACGTATTCATGTGTGCCCAAGATCCCGAGAAGAGAATGGAGGAGAAGGGATTGTGGCATGGCCATCCGCCCTGGGGGGGGAGGGGGTGATTTCTCACTTTCTGTATCTCTGTCTCTCTCTGTCTTTCTGGCAAGCGCAAGTGCCCTATAGCAACCCCACAAAAAAAAAAAAAAAAAAGAATGGCTAGCTCAAAATAAAAAGGAAAGAAAAAGAAAAAGAAAGGAGGAAAGAGAGAGAGAGCAAAAGAAGAAAGAAAGGAGTAAAGAAAGAAAAAGAAAAAGAATGATAAGATCTCTGTGGAGAACAATATGGAGGTTCCTGGAAACCTACAGGTAGAACTACCTTATGACCCAGTGACTGCACTTGGTATTTACCCAAAAGATATGAAAACAGAAAGACATTTGCATATCCATGTTTATTGCAGCATTATTCACAATTGCTAAGACATGGAATCAACCTAAGTGTCCCAAAACTAATGATTGGATTGAAAAACTGTAGCACATAAACACTATGGAATATTACTGAGCCATAAGAAACAATGAAACCCTTGGGAACCAGCAGATGGCGTAATGGGTACATCTCTGGACTTCCACATAGTTGACCACAGTTCAAGTCCCAGACCTGGTAGCTTAAAACTCATGCTGGGCATGTATACACATGTGCCCAAGATCCCAAGAAGAGATTGGAGGAGAGGGGTTGCAATATGGCCAATCCCCCCGCCCCCCAGGAATGATTTCTCACTTTCTGTTTCTCTCTCTCTCTGGTGAGCACACGTACCTATTGCAAAAATCTCTCTCAGAAAGAAGAGAGAACGAGAGAAAGAAAGAAAGGAAGAAAGAAAGAGAGAGAGAAAGAGAAAAGGAAGGAAAGAATGAAACCCTATCATCTGATTCAAAGTGGGAGAATATAGAGGACTTACTGCTGAGCAAAGTGAGCCAGACTCTGAAAGACACACATGGTATATCCCCACTCAGTGTGCTCCAGAGGTCTGCACTCTGGCAGAAATGGAGCGATCTGGAGGTGGGTAGCAGACAGGACAGTGCGGATACCAGAGACTGTCAGGGAGGGGAGTGGGTGGTGGAGGGTAGGTAGGAGGGCCAAAGGGAAGAGACATTTAACAGACAAAATGATGTAAAGTTCTCTGTTGGAAAAAAAAAAAGTTCTGTAATTTTTGCTCTATAAAAGTAAGGGGAATAAAATAATGCCCAATTAAGTCAGGAAGCTTGCAGAGGTTCAATTCAATCACTCATTTGTTATTTTGGCTTTTTTTAATGGACAGATAAAGATCATACATATTGATAGTGTACAACAAAATGTTTTGATGCAGTATTATTACAAAATGCCCAGATTGAGCTAATTAACGTACATATTTTTGTCACGAGAACATTTAAAATCTCTCTTAGCAATTTTCAAGCATGCAGAACATTGCTATTAACTGCTATCACCGTGCAGCGCAATCGAGCTGGATTCATTTCTCCTAACAGAGGATTTGATCCTTGGCCAGCATCTCCCCAGTCCCACCTCCACTGCCTCATTCATTCGTTCTTTCTCCAACTGAATCTTAATTTCTTATCCCTGTACTTGCAGATGCCTTCCACGCATCACTAGGCCCACAAACATGCGAGTCAGTGACACAGCCCCCGCTCCATGGAGCTGACAGACTGGGGAGAGGCAGGCGGATCAAGCAGTTGTCCGAACCCACAACCACAGACTCTGAGTGCAGGAAGCTCGCAGGCAGAGGGGACCCCTTCCGGGGAGTCAGGGCTGAGAGGGGTGTCTTGAAAGACCAGCATGCTGTCTGCATGGCCAAGGGACCCGGGGCGTGGGGAGTGGGAAGTCAGCCTGGGGCGGTCGGCCAAGGTGCAGTCTCGGTTACACAGGAGGAAGTGCCGTCAGGAGCACTGTACCGTGTGCTGGTGGTTGCTGGGAGGGCAGACGGAGTGCTGGCCACAGGAGGTGTGCATGGTTAGGGGACGTACAGGCCGGTTAGCTCCACCGAGCCCTCCCGGGTGCACTATAATGCACGCGTTGTACACAGTAGAGATCATTAGTCCATTTAAAATCAGTGGAAATTCGCAGTAATCAAAGTAAGTAGAGGTAAGCCAGCCAGTGTGGGGCCCCGGGGTGGCTGGGAGAGGGACGGGCCCAGCCCAAGGAGAAGGGGATCAGGATCGGGGATCGAGGGACCTCATTCCACCTGAGATGAACCTCAGGAGGGCTCAGAGGCGGAAAGAGCAGTGTGCAAAGGCCGGTCCCGGACCCGGGTGTCAGTGAGACAGGAGGGAGATGTTCCGGGACCTTCCTACAGGTGGTGATGCTAGCTGCTAAAGGTAGGATGTAAGGGGAGGGCCCTGCGAGGCGATCTGGCGCGGGAGGTTCTGGCTCACCTCCAGAGAGCCCCTGAGTACCCCGGACACACGCATGCCCGTAACCCTGGCCGGCCGAAGCTGCGGGTGGGTGGAGGTTGTCAAGACCCCATTGGAGGTGCTGTCTCTCTCTGTCTCTGTCTGTCTCTCTTACCCATGAAACAAATAAGTGTATAAACTTTTTTTAAAAGTACAAAATGGTTGGACCATCTCTTTAAATAAGTTTACTTTCTGTATTCTTAGAGTCTCTTATGTAGGAGAGATATACTACCACTCAGCCTCTACGTCAAGGTCGGCAGCCCTGAGCACCCTTTCAGTATAGCGTGGCGTGGGAATAGTCCCGCCCCCGAGGAATGAGGAGCAGACAGTTCCACGTGCAATAAAGTGATACACATTTTTAAATGAGGAAAACCTAAAAAGACAGAGAAGGAGAGGATGGGTGAGGCTGAAACATGTGGGGTGTCTGCGATTCAGGCTCTATGTAAGGGTCTCCCTCCAGGCCTCAAGGATCTCCCACCCCACCCGAGCTGCCCCTGGAGTGGAGGGATGAGGAATCTTGCAGACATGACTCACCCTCACGCACGCCGACCGTCCAGCCCAGGCAGAGCACTGCAAGAGAGACCCAGTGAGAAAGCCCCACTGCCTAGTCCCCCCGGAGGGCTGCTGTGTGTGAGTGCAGGGGGAAGGAGGGCTCCATGGAGCCTCCCATAACTAGTAGACCACCCATCCGCCACCTAACAACCGAGACAACCCTCCTGGCTCTAAACAGCTTCAACACAATCCCTGTCTCCTCTTCAACACGGGTCCCTCAGCCCTTCTCAGAGCTGAACTCGTCCCCAGCTACGGTCCTGTTTCTCCGACCACATCCAAGATTCCCCCTGCTCCGGTGAGACTTGGCTAGGCCAGAGCAGAGGTGAGAAGCCCTGGGGGGAGAGAGACCCCTTTCTCCCCCAAGACCCAAAATCTGCTCCACTGGAGTCAGACCCAAGAACAGGGCTCTGGGCTCCTTCCCCAGGTCTCACCCCTGCCCCGGGTCCTCCCCACTCAGGACTCACCAAAGCCCAGCAGGGCGGTGGGACCGGGGCACATGGCCTGGAGCTGACCGGTGGAGCCGCGCAGCAGTTACGGGGACAGGATGTGTTGGCGACCCGTGATGGGGTTTCTACATCAACTGCCTCGCACGGAAGGGAAACACACTCTCTCCTGTTTTTTCTTCTCTTCCTGCAAATGAGGCAGAGGCGGGCCTTGGTTCCCACGAGCTGTTTCTCACCCACGTGCTCGGGTGGGGTTGAGCTCTGCTGGTTACCCTCCTTCCTAACCCGTAGGACAGGCAGAGTGCGGGCGGTGCCGCTGCTCACATGGATGTCAGCCCCAGCCCTGGACGTCCCCCGTCCTCAGGCAAGGCGTCAGGACGCTGGTAACTGAACAGGGGACCATGGAATCCTCCAAGTACGGAGCCTGCCTCAACCTCCCAGTGAGCTGTGAGCGCATTAAAAAGTCCTCCTACGAGGATTCGTTTTTAAAGAGACAAGTGTTGGCAAGGATATGAAGAACCTGGGTCTCCGTACACTGTTGGTGGGGCAGCCAAAGGCGCCCTCAGAGGGAAAGCCATCGGGGCCCCTCCGAGAACGAAGCACAGAGCCACGGGGGCAGCAGCTGGCGCGGCGGTGAGGTGCTGACTCCCCCGACCACGGTCGCACTCTGGACCCAGTGGCCTGAGGATTATGCTGGGCGTGTGTGCGTGTGTGCGTGTGTGCGTGTGTGCCCAAAATTCCAGGAGGAGACTGGAAGAGAAGGGACTGCAGTATGGCCATCTCCCTGTAATTTCTTACTTTTGGTCTCTCTGTCGCTCTCAGGCAAACTCACACACCTATGGCAAACCCCTACACACAATAAAGAACCACCATGTGACCCAGTAATCTCCCACTGCTCCGTGTTGACCCAAAGGACGCGAAATCAGTTTATTGTTAACTAAAGTAAACCGAGTCAAAACTTGAAAAGCAGAGAGACTTCATTTGGGCCTAAGTTTGAGGACTGCACCAGGATACGGCTGAATGAGCTGATTTGGGTGACCTCCAACACGCCCACTGAGGCTTCTCATCCTTGGAAGGTTTTAAAGATGAAGATCACAAGTGGGGGCAGGGGGTGAGGTTACACCGGTTGTTTCCGGACAACTCTCCTTGGCTGCCAGGATTAACACCCAGGGTGGTGCCCGGCCAAGGCGGGCAGGCAGCCTCCAGGCAGGCGTCTGGCAGAAGCAGGCCTTGCGTCAGGCCGTGGTGGTCTCTGAGCAAGGCTGCTGCGTTCTGGCGGAGTCTGCTAAGAAACAGTCCTTGTCACCAGGCCTGCTAGTGCGAGAGAGTGCCCGCCGGTGGCCCTCATGGCTCAGTGGAGTCCGGGTTTTAGCACGCTGACACAGACTGCTGCACTCTGATTCTGAAAAGCGTGTGGAGCTGAAGAGCTGTCTGCACCCCTACGTCATCACGGTACTGTTCACATCGCCAAGACGGAGAGAGAGCCTGTCCATGGGAGAGGAAAGGGCGAAGGAGGTGTGGCATTGGGCCATCGGAAAAGTCACGACGCAGCTTTGCACAGAGAAACATAGGAAAACACACGCCTTTTCCAACCACCCAGTATATACCTGTTAGAATACCAGTCAGCCTTCCAACCACCCAGCGTATACCTGTTAGAATACCAGTCAGCCTTCCAACCACCCAGTATATACCTGTTAGAAAACCAGTCAGCCTTCCAACCACCCAGCATATACCTGTTAGAATACTAGTCAGCCTTCCAACCACCCAGTATATACCTGTTAGAATACTAGTCAGCCTTCCAAAAAAGAAAGGAATCCTCAATCCGGTCCAGTAGCCTAGGGAGCCGGACCCCACACGGCCAAGCACAGTTCACATTCCACCCCGGTGGCTTGAAAACACCATCCCTGCTTCTGTGCATGCCCAGAATCCCAACAGGATAGAGACAGAGAAGGGACTGTGACATGACTGTGCCCCGTCGAGGGTGCCTCCTCTCTCCCTCTCTCTGTCTCTCTGGCAAGAACACACACCCGATGATAATTCAAAAAAGAAAAAAGAGAGGCTAGCAGGAGGCATAGTGGTTAAGGCACTGGACTCCCACATGGTTGACTACAGGTCAAGTTCTAGACCTGGTGACTTGAAAATCACTCTGGGTGCATGTGTGTGCATGTCCAAAATCCTAAGAAGAGAATGGAGGAGAAGGTATCGTAGTGTGACCTTTCCCCCTGGGGGTCACTTCTCATTTTCCTCTCTCTGTGTTTCTCTGTGTCTCTCTCCTGCAAGTGCATGCACCCTATGATAAAAACCTTAAAAGAAAAAGAGCATAATCAAAATAGGAATCCTATGTAAAATAATCTATTTGTTTAATGCAATCCCTATAAAATTACAAGAGACATTCTTCACAGATCTAGAAAAGATAATCCTAGAGTTTGTCTGGAACCATGAAAGACTCTGTTTTGCTAAAGCCATCCTGTGCAAGAAGACTGGAGTAGGTGGCATCTCACTTCCTGACACCAAAATATATTACAAAGCTGTGATCATCAAAACTGCATGGTATTGGCACAAAAATAGACATGAGGACCAATGGAACAGAGTAGAGAGTCCAGAAATAAACCCCAAAACATAGAGCCATCTCATATCTTTTTTTGAGAGGTTTTTGCTATTGGGCACGTGCGCTCGCCAGACAGAGAGAGACAGAGAGACAGAAAGTGAGAAATCACCCCCCAGGGAGGATGACCACACTGCAATCCCTTCTCCTCCATTCTCCTCCCAGGATCTTGGGCACGCACACACACGTGCCTGGCGTGAGTTTTAAGCCACTGGGTCCGGGACACGACCTGCGGTTGACTACATGGGAGTCCAGCAACATAACCATTATGTTAACTGCTGGTCCCCTTTTATTTTATTTTTTAAATTTTGAGCCAACTCTTCTTTGACAAGGGGTACCAGCCAATCCAGTAGGAAAAGGAAAACCCCTTTAGCAAATGGTGTTGGAAAAACTGGGTATCCACCTGCAGAAAAATGATGCTGAATTCCTATCTATCACCATTAACAAAACTCAACTCAAAGTGGATCAAAGATCTAAACCTAAGACCACAAACTATAAAACTACTGGTGGAAAACACTGAGAAAACTCTGGGTAGGCAAAGACTTCTTAAGCAAGACCCCCAAAGCACAGGCAATAATCCCCCAAATAGACAGGTGGGATTACATCAGATTAAGGAGTTTCTGCACAGCAAAGGACACCATAATTAGTGTGAATCGACAACTCTCAGAATGGGAGAGAATTTTTGTCAACTGTGCCTCAGATAAGGGACTGATAACTAGAACACACAGGGAACTCAAGCAGCTTCCCAGGAAGAAAATGATTAACCCAATTAAAAGATAGAGAAATGAGCTCAATGAATAACTCTCTAAAGAAGACATTTGAACGGCCAAAAAGCATATGAACAAATGCTCAACATCCCTCACAGTAAAGGAGATGCAGATCAAAACCACAATGAGATACCACCTAACCCCAGTCAGAATGGTGAAGATTAAAAAAACAAATAATGATAAGTGCTGGAGGGGATATAGTGAAAGGGGAACACTCCTACACTTGGTGGGAATGTAAATTGGTCCAGCCACTGTGGAGAACAATATGGAGATTCCTCAAAGACCTTCGAATAGAACTACCATATGATCCAGCAATTCCACTCCTGGGTATCTACAGGAGAGCACTCAGTCAGAAAAGCACTTGCACAGCTATTTTCATTGCAGCATTATTCACATTGCTAAGACTTGGAACCAACCCAAATGTCCACAAACTGATGAATGGATTGAAAAAATGTGGCACATATACTCCATGAAATACTACTCAGCCGTAAAAAACAACAAGCCCCTGGAATTTGATAGAAAGTAGACAAATATGGAAGATACGTTGCTGAGTGAAGCAAGCCAGGCTATGAAAGAGAAACATTGTATGCCTCCACTTAACATACACCAACTGTCCGCACTCTATGGTAGAGACTGAAAGACTGGAGAACATAAAAGTATGAAAAATTGTAATGGACACTAGAGACGAAGTGGAAAGAGAGTGTGGGGGGAGAGCATAGGAAAGAAAATTTGGGGGTAAAAGAGAGGTAAGACACTTGTGGGACACAGATAAGGTTTATTATCTGTTGATGAGAATGTGCATAATAGTCTCACCTGGGCTGGACTGAGGTGTAAATCATGCTGGGTAAAGCCTCTTCACAATATAAATTATGTATAGTGATTTAATGTGAGAATAATAATAATAAATTTTAAGCAAAAAATATATATAAAAAAGAAGAGCAAGATGAAGAAGAAAATCCCGGTTCATGTGGGACAACATGGATGGGCTGGGAGGACGCTGCTGAGTGAAATAAGCTGGACACAGAAGTAGTGTGCAACTGCACTCACGTGAGAAACCGGAGCCGATCAGATCCGTAAGATCAAGTGGAATGCTGGTTACTAGGGACTGAGAGAAGGGAGACTGGAGCGTAATCATGGGCATCTGTGTTCAGGTAAGTAAGGTACACACGCTCTCGAGACCTGCCATCCAACAGTGTCCACAGTCACGGTGACGTCCCGCAGGCCAGGGCCGTGGCGGGGTGCAGCACGGTGCTCTGCAGTACCAGCGGCCGTGCGGAAGGGCCGGGCTCAGGCCCTGAGCAGACCTGCCTCCACCAGGCACCAGGACCCAGGAAGGCTGGGGCGGATCATGGCATGAAACCCTGTTCTGGGTACTTCTCTCTCTCTCTCAATAAATCTTTTTAGAATTTTTTTTTAAGAAGACCTATCTGCTTCTTCATGAAGATGGCATCTTCTTGTGTTTTGGGTGTAATATCAAGGTCCTGACTTTGTTTTCTCACCTACTGTCGTAATTAAATAAATTTTCCTTTATGAATATACTCATGACATTTGTAATAAATGTCTTGAGTAATAAAAAAAGAGAGATTTCATGCTAAGTGTTCTTACAATAGTCACACACACACACACACACACACACACACACACACTAAAGACCCCCAGCTCTGATGTTCTTCTACCCCAATTGGCTCAGTATTTCGGCTGCTGTGTTCAGTCTGATTGCCTCATTGCTGCAAGATGGCTGCCATAGCTCCAGATATCCCATCGTCATGACAGTCATCCTACTAACATGAGTTTTCTTCCTGTCTTCCCTCACTGTCACCTGGAACCAGGTAAGGTGACCCAACAACATACGCAAAATCCTAAAGGAATCA